TAGAGGCTCTCTTAGGGTGCTGCTGGGACCACAGCGCCTCAGACAGCCTCTGATATCAAAGTGGTTACTGAAGTTACTGTTGTCTTGCCCATTCAGCCCTCAGTGGGCTCTGCCTGTGTTCACCGTGCAGCCTAGAGGCTGGAAGGTTACATGAGATACTGCTCATGGTGTAATCATATCCGACCTTTCCTGCAGCTCCACCTGGTGGCACTGAACAGCCCGCTGTCGGGTGGCATGCGTGGTATCCGTGGGGCCGACTTCCAGTGCTTCCAGCAGGCCCGAGCCGTGGGGCTGACTGGTACTTTCCGTGCCTTCCTGTCCTCCAGGCTGCAGGACCTCTACAGTATCGTGCGCCGGGCTGACCGTGGGTCTCTGCCCATTGTCAACCTGAAGGTGGGTGGAGCCCGTCCTGAGGGTCCCGGGAGGTCAAAAGTATGTCTGTCCCCAAATGTACCCACGCTCTGGCTTTAGGTGTGAATTCGTAGCAGGGGCTCAAGATGCCCCCAAGGTCCCCAACAAAGCCACTCTTACCCCTGCACCTCCCAGGGCCTGCTCTTGTCCCGTGGATGTTTCTAGTGGTTCCTATGCTGCTGACCACACAGCTCAAAAGTGGCCTGGAGCCATTTCTATGTGCCACCAAGTCTGTCCCCTCCACCCCAGGACCTGTCAAGTGGCTTCATTCCTGGGTCTTACCGATGAAAAGAGTCAGGATTCTTGCTGCCCTTGCAGCAGTATTTCCCAGAACCAATGATGTGGACTTACAGATCCCAGTGTCTCAGGCTTTGGAGAGCAGGGTGTCCCCCACTGTAACAGGCTGGACCTTTGGAGAAAGGGTCCCTCTGCTTCAACGTGTTCCTTGGTCTCTTGTGCTCTCCCTGATACTTTCCTCTGGCCTGTTGTGATGGTGACTGATGGGGCTGTGTCTCCTGTAGGACGAGGTGCTATCTCCCAGCTGGGACGCCCTATTTTCTGGCTCCCAGGGTCAACTGCAGCCTGGGGCCCGCATCTTTTCTTTCGACGGCCGAGACGTCCTGAGACACCCAGCCTGGTAGGTCTCCCGGCATTAGATGTGGCAAGACCTGGGTCTCTAGACACAGTCTCTACAGACAATCATAGACCCTTAGAGGAACATGAGAACGGATGGTGGTCACAGTATGTTTGAACACGAGCCTGTCAGCACTCTCAAAGCCATGGCAGATATGTGTATCACCCGTGACTACTTAATGACCTCTACTGCTCAGCCATGTCCATGCCACAGACAAGTATGGATTCTGCAAGACAGCTCCCTAGCATAGCCCTTGATCACAGAATGCACCTGAAAAGCTCACAAGCAGCTGGACTGTCCTCAGAATGGTGTCAGACCCAGGGTCTCTGTACCTGGCAGCTCGGGCACCTGCTCCAGTGGCCCTGCTCTCTGAAGGGTGGTTTGGGGAGCTAGACAAATGTGTCCCCGGGTAGTACTTGAGCTCTGACCATCTGCTTTCCCCAAGGCACCTGTGAGGGCCCTCCTGACCCCTCCATGAGCTGTAGGCAGAGCTGAGTGGCTAAACTCTGGCAGCAGAGTTCACTCCTAGCATTTATCAAGCCAGAAGTTCCAGCAACCAGGCCAGCCTAGAGGTCCCCTGGCCCAGGCTGCACCCCAACACCCTCTCCCTCTGCAAGAGTACACATCTGGGAGGCGGACCCAAGTCCTCCAGATCACAGGGGCCTTTCACTGTCCCCAAATATAGTGGCTGGCCTCACATCTTCTCTGTCCCAGAGGGCAGACCTGGAAGGACAGGCCTGCAGATAGCTGACGGTCTTTATGCCTTCTTGCAGGCCTCAGAAGAGTGTATGGCATGGCTCAGACTCCAGCGGACGCAGGCTGATGGAGAGCTACTGTGAGACATGGCGGACGGAGGCTAGCGGGGCTACAGGTCAGGCCTCCTCACTGCTGTCAGGCAGGCTGCTGGAACAGAAAGCTGCCAGCTGCCACAACACCTACATCGTCCTGTGCATTGAGAATAGTTTCATGACCTCTTTCTCCAAGTAGGGCCTCTGCCAGCTAGGGTGGTGGACAGAGGCGGCACAAAGGATGGACACAGTGCAGGGAGCATCTGGCCAGTGCCTGGGGCCTGGCTGGGCTACAATCCTGTATAGTTCACATTTTATGTAATCCTCAAGAAATAAAAGGAAGCCAAAGAGTATATTTTTTTAAACATTTAAAAATAGACTTCCTGCCCTTCCTCTCCCACTTGAACTGGTGGCCAGTCTGTGTCACAGATCTCCCTCCATGCTTGGTGGAGCTCTATGGTGACGTCAGGCCACAGCTGGGTGTCAGCAGGTTGCTGCCTAAAGATCTGCAGACTTTCTCTAGCCTGGCATCTTCCTGTGCACAGACCCTTCAAAAGACAGTCACATGTGAGTGCTGGGGACAGACCCTGGGACAGCACAGGGCAGCTGGGACTCTCCTCTCACACCACCTAGTTACTGCCCGTAGTCCAGGCAGGTAGTAACTGGGACCATCCATGCTGAGCAGCAGGAACCACCTCCTGCCTCCCCTACTCTCCAGGAACAACACTCCCTGCCAGAGCAGGTTTCCAAGCCCAGTACTCACTGTGACCCCCAAACCTGAACCCTGTCACTGTGCGTAGAGAACAGGAGTGTGATCAGACGTAGCCCACACGCTCATTTTGCTGGGGGCCAGACGTGACATGGGGCCCACCCTCAGGCTTGTCTCTCGGACTGGCCTCCCTGGTGACCCATGAGATCCTGTCCAGAGCAGAGCCCAAGCCCAACCAAGCCCGAGAGCCAGGGTCTGACAGCGCCCGGTCCTTCCCTGCCCACCAGCCTGAAGTCCACGAATCTCGCGGCAGCTGCACTAAGCACTCGTCCTGTGGAGGGACATGTGTGCTCAGGGCCACAAGTGGCTAATCATAGCCACTGTGCCTGCCTCAGGCTCTATTGTCCAAGGATTGGGACAAATCCAGTGGGGCTAGTTCTGTGACTCTGTGTGATATGAAGCCATTTCAAAGAGGCACCAAATAAAAATGACCTTTTATACAGACACTTGGTTTTTAAGCTGCCTTCCCTGTTACAAAAAGGACAAATCATCCAAAATGAGACCTGGGAGCCTCTGTCCCTGCACTTCCCAGCTGGAGTCCTGCAAAGGAAGTACAGGTGAGCACACAGTCATGTGTACGTGGATACAGGCCTGTACGCACACGTGCGAACAGGTAAACGCAGACATACATGTGTATGAATACACTGGTATACATGGTTAAGTGTGTATGTGCACAGGTTTGGACGGGTATATAGACTATGTACAGTTATACACAAATGTGCGTGGCTGTGCACAAGGCTGTCTAGGCATGCATGAATGCGTGTGTGTGTGTGTGTACAGTATACCTAGTTACACAGATGTCTGTGTGCAGTGGTATGCAAAGGCATATGCAAGTGTGTTTATGTACAGGTGCGCAGGCATACACAGGTAGACAGTGTATTGTACAGATGTGTACAAATGCTATCACAGTACCCTCCACCTGGTGTCCAGCAGTGTACACAAGATGACTTCAAAATCATGTAGAGGAGGCTAGAGAGAGAGAGCTCAGCAATTAGAGTAATTACTGGTCTTACAGGGGACCTGAGTTCAACTCCCAGCACCCACATGGCAACTTACACCCATCCACTTTCAGAAAACCTGACACCCACTTCTGGCCTCCACAGGCACCAGGCACACAAATGAAACGCATATATACGTGCAAGCAAACACTCACGTGGATAAAATAAAAATAAATAAATCTCCAGTTTTTTGCAGAGGATCTACCTGGGCCCCAGGTAGATCCCCAGTGGAATCTACCACTGGGCCCCAGACCTACCACCTGTGTTCACTATCATGCCCTGGCTGAGGCTGACCCTAAGGGACCATGCTTGCCAGAGACCATGTCCAAAGCCTCAAGCCAAGTAAAGGACAGCTGACGGCTGACAGAAGGGCCCAGGAGAAGAGAAGTGACTGTCCTCAGCCAGGCCAGGTTGCCAGGTGAGGGCTACAGAGCTGCAGGTCAGAGTGGGGGGGGGGGCGCTGTGAGGGAGGGCTTTTGCTGGGAGAGGCTCTGAGGGTGAAGGCCAGCAAGCCCCATCTTGCTGCACTGGGTACCACTGAGGGAATGGCTGTAGGGTGGGCTGGCATCAGAGGGCTAGCCACACACCGTCTCTGCCTGTGGCAAAGGACATGCCTATGTCCATCAGGCGTATCCTACGAGAACCCCAAGCCCAGCAGGGATGGAACTAGCCCTCGCCTGCCTGTAAGGCTTCCAAGGGGCTGCGATAGACATGTGGATGCAGCCGGACCAGTGTTCTGACCATCAGGCCAGCCCTGCTTGCAGCCTCTTCCTCAGCCCAGGGTCCCCGAGGTGACCTTTCCCAAGTGGACCTTCGGGTAGGTCCAACTGAGGCACAGTTGGTTCAGCAGACCCCATGACAAGCAATTGTGTTCTCTGCTGACCTGGTTACTCATCACTGCCAGCCAGGAGGGATACTACTTGCATGCCCTAGGGGGTGTCAGATCTTGCACTGGAGTTGGAGGTCAACTCAAGGACACTGAGGGCTTAATCTCTGCTGTGCATCCTTGCTTTGGTTGAGGCTAATCAACCACAGCCCTTATGTACCAGGCCAGCATGGAAACCTCCTCATACTGGTATCTGTTTAAAGGATCGGAGAAAGTCCTCATGCCACAGATAGTCTCAACCTCATAGCTGGCTCTGATGGCCCCTCCCATGTAAGCCCCCGAAGGCATTCCCCTCTAGGACCTCGATTCCAATCAAGGCTGGTACATCTGCAGTCCTCTGGGCTGCCTGTGCCTGTCAGGTCAGTCCTAACTTGTTCAGGGACGGAGGGAAGAAGAAAGAAGGACTCTGGGCTGAAGTCAGCAGGGGAAAAGGGCCCGTTCCTCAGGCCAAGCCGCTACTCCATCAGTCGGAAATGTGCCCGATGCCCACCTGACTCCAGCTTTTCACAGCAGATGTAGTTCTCCATTTTAATGTCAGTTGATTTTAAAAAAGGATCAGATAGTCATTTAAACAAGCACCTCCAATGGTGGAAGTGAGTTTGACAGCATAGCCAGGAGCCAGGACAGGCATCTATCTACCCCACACAGAAGGACCAGCACCCTGCAGGGTCAGCGTGCCTTGGCTGGTGTCTGGGCTACCTCACTAGCCCTGGGATTTGTCCTGAGCTTCCAAGGGCTAAGGGCGGGCTGGCCTGGTGGGCACAGTTGACCCCAACACAGGCTCTTCTTGGCAAGCAATAGGCAACCCAGGCTCACAGTGGCCTGGCATGTCACAAGGCCAGCCTGAATGTCCCCAGCAGGCTTTGGCCACAGCTAAAGCATAAAGTAGGCTGGGTTTAGGGTCCTCAGAGGCTGTCAGTAGGGACAAACTGTTGTCCCTCATTTAAAGCAGGTGGCCCCTAAGGTGACCTCCTGTGGACATACCGAGGGTTCCTGAAAGGCAACACAGGGGCCCGACATGTCTTAGGCCCTGGGACTCAAGACAGTATAGACTGGGAGCCTTGTCTGTAGCATCAGGCCCAGGCTGGTTCATGATGGAGCGTACATGGGAAGGGTTGTTTGAGTCAGGAATCCTCCCGCTGAAGTGGGATGAAGCCAGGAAGGTCAGGATGGGTCAGGCCTTGGCTTCGACTCTCAGGTCTGCCACGCTGTCCTCTATGCCATCCTCTGAGAGCAGTGGTGGAGCTGAGGGCTGCAGTCCCCTTAGGCCTCCATCCTGTACACTTAGCACCTGCACAGAACTCTCCAAGGGACTCCTCAGCTCCTGGGCCAGGGCCAGGGGCTGGTGGTGACCACGCCGGCAGTATCTCCAGCCATCCAGCACAGCCCCCACAAAGCAGATGATGAACAGCACCAGGAAGTACAAGGAGTAGATAAGAAACTGAAAGAGAGAGTTTGGGAGTTTGGGTGACCTCAGGTTTTGTACCCACCACCCTTTCGCCCTTGCCCAAACCCGGGGAATCCCACTGAGGTTTGCCATCATTCGGCCTCCAGGGAGCCAGAGGAGTCATAGGCCTTACCCGGGGGGCAGATACCATGGGGCTTGGTTCCTTGTTCTCTGTCTTCCACAGCATGGCCAATCACAAAAGGGGTGCCTATCACTTCCCCAAAGATTCCCAGAGAACCCAGTATGCGTCTGGCATCCGTGTGGTCCTCAGAGACTGGTACCCTGGCTCTAATTCACAGAACTAACTTCCTTGGCCACCAGGACAATGATCCAGGGCTGCTCCTAGGTCCTGGCCTTAGTCAAGACTGGGCGTAACCTTGGCCTGCACTGCACAGCAGTGACCAAGAGGAGCCAGGCAGCCACAGGTCATGTCCCTTCCTGAAGGGCCAGGTGAGCTTCCTGGAGCAAACTCAGAAATGGCTCATTAGAGATGTTTGTTCTCCCAGAGACAGGGATGACATCCTTTCCCCCATTCTCCCTATGTCAATCAAACCCCTAGATGCTGTGGGCAACACCCACGGGTGGGGGGACAGGGGTGGAGAGAAGTCTCAGCCAGCCAGATCTCAGGATCCACTAAAGGTGTGGCAAGTGCTGGGTGTTTCTTTTTGCTTCATGGATCTTGGAACTGAAGCAGCCAGAAGTCTAGCATAACCGTCTAGCATAACCGCTCACTCTGCCCACGGAGCCGGCACAGATACAGCCCTGCTAGAGGGCAGGTACCAGGACAAGAATATGCAACTCCAGGAATTTCCCTGGAAGCACCTGACCCTGCCTCTGGCACACCAGACTCAAGGGAGGACCTGTTGGTGGGGCCCAGGCAAGACTCCTGGGAAGAAACTTGAATCCCGTTGGGTAGTAATGACCCCACTTCTTACCCTTATCCTCATGAATTCAGCAACAACCATTCAGGGTGAGGGGACCCACCACACGCACACACACATGCACACGCACGCACACGCACGCGCACACAACTGGCAGTCATGAGGTATTCACTGCCCTCTGCACTAGAGGGGACCACATGGAATTGACGGTATGCCACTGAGCAGAAATAAGACGCCCTGCCCTCGGGCGGTGAGGGGGCCACTGTGGGAGTCAGAACTCCTCCTCTACCCAGACGGCCTGCACTGCCAGGGCTTTAGACCCCTTGGCTTCAACACACAATACCAAGAGGCCTTTGACCTCTGCTGCAGCTCACCACAGCTGCAGACCTCACACCAAGGCCTCTGGAGACACTAAAGCCAGCAGTCAGCAGGTACTGAAGTCATCTGAGCAAAGTTTTAGAGCAACCGCCATGAAATGGGTCAGCCAGAAGTAACAATACTCCGGAAATACAAAAACAGGAGATGGTATCAGAAGAAATACGGGATGAAAGAGAAATGGAGACATTCAGGCCAAAGAAGGGAACCAAGAGGAAATGATGGAATAAGAGGGGAGACTCTTAACAGGAGACACCACAGCAAACGAAACCCTTCCCATCCATCCCTTGCTTTCTCTGTCTGCTCTTGCTTCTGCTTTTTGAGAGACAGGCTCACTATATAGCTCGGGTGGCTTTGAACTCATGGTCTTTCTGCTTCAGCTCCCCGAGTGCCAGCATCCACTGCATGCCTGGCTTGTGTCTTCTAAGTTATATTTGATGGTGAAAGCGAAATTGATTAACACTGTCTTATGTGATTCTGAAGGTATATGTGCAAAGCATCAGGGCAACTGGCCTGTCAAGGATAGCGGGCACAGTGATGTAGTCCCCACACTACACATAACTGGTAATGGAATACACATGCAGCCACCAAACATCAGACCATTATTGGCTTCTAAAGGCACAGACAGCATAAACTAAACTGTGGTTTCACAAGCAAATCCCAGAGAAAAATGCAAATTAAAACAACCCATGAGAATGGCTAATAGGAAAAAGTAACATCAAGTGCTGATGAAGATCTGAGGAAATGGGTCCTCATACCCTGCTGGTGCGATGGGAATGGCCCCCGCTGGGAACCCACAGCTCCGCTTCTGGGCTCTCATTCCAGAGAAATAAAACCTACATTCACACAAAACCTAGGAGAGAACTTGGACTATCCAAAGACTGAACACAGCCCACTGCGCTTCCGAGATCAGCAGCTATCCCAGGCACGCTGACCGCCTGCAGTAGTTACAGCAGCCACCTGCCCTTGTCTCAGAGGAGAAGGCCAAGGGCACACACATGGGAGAATGGAGCCACCGCCCGGGAGAACACCTATACCCAGGGCACACACATGGGAGAATGGAGCCACCGCCCGGGAGAACACCTATACCCAGGGCACAGGCTGGTAAGGGAGTGGCTATAGCTATGAAATCCTAAGTGTCTCCCAAGGGAATGAAATGTTCTGGATTTTGGCTGAACATCAACATCCCAATTAGGATGCTGAGCTAAAGAACCAGGAGAACTGAGCCCAAGGCACCTGAGTCTCTGCATGATCTCTTAAACTGGGTGGAAGGAAGCCAAACTTAAAAACTGAGCAAATATCCAGGCTGGCTCCCAGCCACAGTCCCAAGTCCCACCCTGGTTCTCAGTGGTTTCTGGCTCTCTCCCACTGCCTGGGCTCCTGCCCCAGCCCTTCTCCCAACTCGGGATGAAGCGTGGGAGGGCAGAGCAGGAGCCTGCATCTCTTATCACTATGAACAAAAACGCAATGCTCGAAAGAAAACTAGCCAGAGAGAAAAACCAGTACTCATCTCATAATCTGACTGGATGAAGCGGGGACCAAAGCCAGAATGCCCCTCGTCCCTCATGGGGCCCCTCCATATAGTCTGTGCCAATGAGTGGGACTCACCAAGGACCCCCAAGAAGGGAAGGAGTTCTCTTGTGGCTAGCCCTTTGGGAAAGACCTGATCCAGTCCCCTTCCTACTGAGCCCCTACCCCATTCCTGAGGTTCATTGGCAAGGGGGCCTTTGCAGGGCAGCTGGAACGGGGCGGTGTTTGGGAGCAGAGTTAGCAAGAAGGGGAGCACAAGGCAGCACCTGTCTCTAAGGAGTCCCTCAGGCTCCACCCATTTGGCTCCCAAAGGCTGAATGTGAGGCAGGCTATGGCGGGAGAAGGAGGGAGAGAGGGAGCACAGTGGCCTTAGAGGTCAGGGATTAAGACAAATCACATGTTAAGTGTAGTACAGCCGGGGCCACATTAGGTTCCTCCTGGGGTTTCTCTGGACAGCTCCCTCTACTTTAGGGGCCACCACTCTTCTAAGGACAGAGACAGTCTCCTCCAGGGGGAACTTGTGCCCTTCCTAGCCCAACCCACCCTCGACCTCACCCAGTACCATGGGGTCAACCCAAGACTCCTATGAACCCAAGAGCAGTTGGGTTGTAATGAGGAATCATGTGTCCTGCTCAGTATGGATCTACCTCCCTATGGGCCAGGCAAGACTTGACTGTTCTGGATTCAGCCTGAGGGGATATGCACTGAGTGGTTTAGCCGGGCTGGAGGCAGTCCGAGCTTTAAATGGCAGGACTCTGGTATTCCCACTTCAAAGGTCTACTCAGATCCTACCAGGTAGGTTCCCAGTGGGATGGCCTGCTCCTGCATGTGGAAGCACCTGCTCCATCTATGGCCAGCTCACTGGCCAGCCAGACTCAACAGTGACAAGGCCACTGTGCCAACTAGGGATCCTCCATGCGCTGGGACTTCTCCATGACGCATACTAACCTGCAGGCCTCCAGCCCAGGGAAACCTGGGCTCCAGGAAGACCATCGGTTTTCAGAGGTTGCTAAGACACTGCCCAGCTTCAGCCTGGGGCAGTCATTAAGGAGCCTGGTGACCATCCCTCCTCATGTGTTGACTACTAAGCCGATTTGGCTTGGGAGCTGGCCAGTACCTCCATCACAATGCCCTTATCACAGAATAGTCAGTTTTCTCAGATACAAGAAAAACACTGACTGTGATGGGAACATTGAAGGCACCCCAAGAGGGGCCAGTAGCCCAATGCCATCTGATGCCAGCTCCAACCAAGGGGCTGTGCCCTAGCTCCCTCCTGGATATGAACACTTCAGATATCATCCACCTTGGGCTTAAATCCATCAGGTCTTGACAACCACAGACAGATGTGAGATGAAAGACAAGGAGCTGTGACAGCATTCGTTCAGACACAGGCCCAGGTAAGGACATACAAGGTCTGATAAGGACTCCTCAACTCAGCCAACCTTGGAGGCCCAGCAACTTGGGGGCTCCAAGTCCCAGAGGTCCAACCTGGACAGGAGCAGGGTGGGTGCACATGGATAGATAAAGTGGCTAACCTCACCACATCAAGTGCCCATGGAAATGTGAGCCTGTCCCCAACAGTCTCACCTCCTGCTCCAATGGGGGCCACATTCTGTATACTCTAGTGACAATGGATCTGAGTCCCCTGGGAATGGACCACAGAAAGTGGATGCCAGGAGGCCCTGCCAAGACCACGCGATGGGATTCCCTCCCCCAAGGATAGGAAGCTGAAGTTGGGGCTTACCTGACTTTCGACTGTGAGGCCCAGACCCCGCTTGTCAGAGACCACCAGTGTGATAGAGGTCTTGAGCATAGTGGCAAGGAATGTGTTGATCCCGAAGACCAAGGCACAGAGCTCTTTAGACAGGGAAGATGCAATCTGAAAACTGGGAGGCAAAAAGCATACTGTGATCAAACTCACTGAGTAGGACGGGGGCAGGAACAGAGTCAGACTGGGCATGGTGACAATGTCGTTCTTCCCAGCACAGGATGCAGAAGCAGGTGAACTCTGTGATTCCAGGCCAGTCTGGTCTACATAGTGAGACCCTATCTAATTAAACCAACAAATGAATAAACACAGAGCCAAGGAGACTCCTGCATCTACTCAGGGAAACACCAACGTACCAAGTCATGCAACCCTACCCGCCACCAGACTCAGAGCTAAGTTCCCGGGTACACAACTCTAAGATCCCCATCCGCAGCCATAAAGTCCCCTACCCCAGCCCCAATCCAGCAGATCTGTGCATAGTGGCGCTACCCCAGGTCCCAGCCCCTCCTCTCCCTCCTTCTACCCACCAATCATCAGTAGCTGACCCAGGGAAGGAATGGGGCTCAGGACATGTTTATAGAGAGACTGTCCAGGAGATTGGGAACAGGAAGGTGCTCTCAATTCAGGAGGCAGGAGTATGTGGCCAGAGAAGTGTGCCAGTGGCCACGTGGCCAGAAAATGTGAAAAGGCAGTCCAAGCAGGGAAAGAGGCAGAGTTATGCAGCCCTGGGAGGTAAGACCAAGGTCTTCCCAGAAGGGCTAGAGAATGGGGAGGCAAAGAAGGCAGGTGCCTGAGTGTGGTGTGAGTACATGTATATATGCTACTCACAGTGCAAGTGCTAAGTACAAATGGTGTATGAAATCTGTGCACACGTGACGTGTGTGTGTGTGTGTGTGTGTGTGTGTGTGTGTGTGTGTGTGTGTGTAGGATGTGGTATGCTAACCCATATACATGTATACTGTAAACATAGATTGTATAGTGCCAGTGCACATGTAGTGGATGGTGTATGTGTGTTGCCTGTCTGGAGATATGAGTACATGTCTGTGAACATATTTTGGGTTTCCTTTAGACAAGGTCTCACCATGTATCTGGCTGGTCTGGAACTCAAAGAGATCCACCTGCCTCGGCCTCCTGAGTTCTGGGATTAAAGGTGTGCACCACTACACCCAGCTCTGTTAGGATGTTTGATGCCTATGTGGCCTGAGTTGTGTGTCCTCAACACACAGCAGGATGTGCTGCTCTCTCAGTTCCAGCCTGGACAGGGTCTCAGGAAAAGCATGTCCGTGCAATCTGGAGTGATCACCTGCAGTCAGTACCAAGAGTCTCTGAAACAGTGTTCAGAGGGGCAACTTGGAAGCCGCATTTAGAGGAGCTGGGCGAGCAAGTAGGACAAGTCCAGGCCGGGGGGCGGGCCAAAAGAAGCGGGAGGGATGCCGGTAAAAACAGTGTAAGAAGGGTCCCCAAGGTGAGGATAAGGGACAGCAGGGGAGGGGAGATGGGATGCTAGTCAACTTTAGGTGGTCTGTGGGTCAGCAGCACTATAGAGAGGTTCAGGAAGGACTGGCAGAGATGGGAGGGAACTGGGGGAGGTAGGGGAACCATTGTCCTTACAGGGGTTGTGGAGCCCGGGGAAGCTAGTGCAGTGGACACAGCCAAGAGTGTCTAGATGGATAGGGCCTCCCACATAACTGTCCACATTGCTTTATGCTCCCCAACAGAACCTTCCAGAAGCCTCTCCCCATCCCATCCTACTCACGTGGCGATGGGCACAAGGAACTGGTAGGCCCCACGGAAAAGCACGAAGGCCACGTAGAGCATCCAGATATTTTTGACCTTGCACATACAGAAAACCAGCCCAGCCTGGATGGCTACAACACTTGCGATGACCGACTTTGACCACAGAGCCCAGCGGATCTTCACAAAGCCCGCAGAGAAGGACGTGACGGCGCCTGGAGGTGGGAGGCATCAATCATGGCTGAGCTTGGGCTCAAGTAGACCCATGGGAGAGATGGGCAGGGATTCAGGCTGAGTTAGGGTGGCCCTGGAACAAGGGCAGGGTAGGGCAAAGGATAGGACAGCCTATGTTGGTGGTCTAGCCCAGGGCAAGGGGTAGGGCTGGACTACAGGCCTGCTGCAGTCCAGCTGGGAAGGGCAAGGGGCCTCCAGTGCATACTCAGCAGTGTGGAGGCAGCATCTACGGCGCCGTTGTAGGTGAGGTTGTTGTTAGTGTTCTTCCACAGGACGTGTACGTAGTAGGTGATCAGGTAGTAGCCCGCCGAGTTGAAGATCCACCAGAGGCACCAGAGGCGCAGCTGTGGTTGCTGTGCGTTTTCCACCAGTTCGCTTAGCATGCGCACCAGGAAGGAGTCCCTGCAAGTGCCCAGCACCCGCTCTAGTTTCCCAGGCTCTGGTCGGCCAGGGCCCGGGTGCATCTGGTCCAGCTCACAGGGCAAGGCTCCGCGCACAAGTGCGCTGCGGTTGAAAAAGAGGCTGTGCTTAGGGCGCTTTAGGAAGAGGGAGAGGCCCAGGCTGAAGATAATAAAACCCAGGGAGATGTAGTTGAGCATGGTGGTGGAGACATGTTCCCAGGTAAACAGCACCTGGCCCAACACAGAGCTGGTGAAGACTCCCAGCAGCACCGATGCCCTTGAGTAGCTGGCCATGCGCTGGTAGCGGGACGGGTGCACCAGGGAGAAGATGTAGGAGGAGTAGGCGATGCGCGCGGCCATGGTGATGCTGTAGAAGAACTCCATGAGCTGCATGTGCACTACAGTGCGGCCCAGCAGCAGCAACAGCCAGACGCTCACAAAGCTCAGGCACTGCAGGACCAGGATTGGCTTGTATCGCAGGTAGTCCGTGAGCAGGAAGATGGGGACCAGCACGGCCAGGTGGGAGTAGGGCAACACTGGAATGATCTCGTTGGTCACCTGTGGATAGGCAAACACCGGTTATTAGCGACACTGGCTGCTCTACTGAGTACTGAGTGAGCAAGCCAAAGTCTACCTTGCCCCTGTCTCCCTACGGACCACACATGTCCCTTCCACGTCCACACCCAGGCTGTTCAGGGTACAAGGGAGTCTAGGAACTAAGACAGTCTTCCAGCCCAAGAAAGTGCAGACCCCAGGCACAACTCACAGAACGCTAGCCAACTGCGGGGGACACCACCATGCATTGTGTGTGGGCCGCATTAACCTAGGCTTTCTGCTCTGCACTCTTCTTAAACCTAAGTAGAAAACAGCACGGTGGCCAGTAGACACCAACACAGATTGGTGTCCTCAGTCCTTTACAGGAGGAAAAGCAAGAGAATGGTAACGGGGTTGGGGTGGGGTGGGGTGGGGGAGCACAATGGACAACTAGGCAGGACACACGGGAGGGAGGTAAGGCCGGGGGGGAGGACAAGGCCATCCCTCCACTCCACCCCATAAGGCAGGACTGGGCATGCTGCCTGCAGAATCCAACCTTCACGGCCTTTACTGAGGCCAACTTCTGGTGGCCACCTTCACCTGGCTCCTGCTGTGGCACGTGACGGGGGAGCTACCTGCTGCAGGGCAGAGGTCAGAAGGCATCGCCTCAGACTCCACATTGCTCCCTGGGGAGGTGCCAGGGCCCACTGGTAGGTGGGCAGGCCAAGCCAACTAACTGCCTTAGGCTCTGTGGATGCTCTGCAGGGAGAGCCTCCATCCCAGTGAGGCCCAGATGACCCCCTGACCTCTCCCCGGGAGGTGGATGTGCTTAGAACCTCCTCCTAAGCCAGGATGAGTTTCAGCAGGGGCCCCCTTAGCTCTCACTTTAGATCCAGCTCATGTGCACACAGGGGAGGGAGCTGGATGGGCACTCCTGGGCTCCCAGAGGCTGGGACTCAGGTCCCATCAACTCCCACACTAAAGCTGACTCAGCCCAGTCACTAGCAACAAGGACCCGAGACAGAACCTGGGTCAGTCAGTATGTAGGAGAGGCGTCAAGCTGACACCCCCCCAGGCCAGCTGCAGGCTGCCTCAGGCAGCTGGTGAGCCGGACCTCAGAGACTTCCCCTCACCCTTCTCCGTCTCGCCCTACCATATTATAGAGCGAGAGGTGCAAGTTCAAAAACAAACCGCCTCCATGTCTGCTTGGATTTAAGCTCATTAGCAGAGTTTCAATAGGACCCTCTGTCCCCATGGCTGAGTAAGAGGGAAAATGCCTTCAATAATCTCTTTACATAAACGGCTAAGTCCCTGCGGGAGGCAGGTGCCAAGCGAGGAGGGGCGTGGCTGGGCACGGGCTCTCTCACTAGGATGGCGGATGAGCCACCTGGCATTCCTTCCTCTGCGTTCTCCCTCAGCCCCAAAGCAGGCACAGGCTTCCTCTCTATGGACCCCAGTGACCCACTCTCTGGCTGGGTTAACGAATCAAAGTCAAGCCCCTCTGTGTGCTCACTGAAGCAGGCGGGAGGTTAGGGTGGAGCCAAGTCCACAACCAACCCAGTCTCTCTGGCCCCTGGAACCTCCCACAGCCTCGGCGGCCCATAGATCAAACCAGGAAAGAACCCCAGCCCACACCGCTGCTCCCCTACCCTCCGGTGACAACATGCCTGCTCCGCTGTGAAGTTATGGTCTGGTCCCAGGAGGTAGGGCGTGATGAAGCTCTCCCCAGGCCGCAACTGTGCCATGAAGCCAAAGAAGCAGAGATAGACTACTAGGCATCGCCAGGACTGGAGTTCATGGTCCTGCCTGGGCTCCTTGCATGCCTGCTTTTCTGCCCCCTGGCCAGTGGGCACCATGGTGCCCAGGTCCTCATGAGACTTGGTGACCAAAGATGATACTCCACCTGGAAGGAAAAGCCAAGTATCTGGGGTTAGTGAAGGAGCCCACAGGTACCCTCTCCCTCCCAATCTTTCAGTTGAGACCCAGGGTTAGCCTTGGGTGGCTGCTGGCCCCAGACCCAAATTGTCAACCTGCTCTGCCAACCTGAGAACTACCAGAGGCTTAATCCTTCAGAGCAGGCCAGCACAGCTCAGCCTCAGGAGTCTTCAAACCAATCAAAGCCTCGGCCACCTAGACCTATTAAATACTAATTGAAGTCATGGAAACTGATTATCTTACTTTACTAAGTAAATTAGTAACATTTAAAATTCAGGTTTGGGAGCACCTCAGACTCATTTCAAGGGCTTGGCACCCCATGGACCCACAGGTCTTGGGAACAGCTGGCCTCAGCAGGTGTTGATAGCTACTGCTCTAGCAGTATCCCAAGTGTTGAGAAAACAGGAGGGTCTGCTAGGCTAAGACACCAGGTGTGCACCAAGACACAACCTGGAGGTCAGCAGGGGTGGTTGCAAATACACCCATCTGCATTCTTCCCACAGCAGGGGAATGCAGTTCTAAAGGACACTTGTCATGGGAAGGAGGGGCAGTGGGAGAGGCAGGTGTCCCCCCGGAGCTGACAGTCACCACGGGGCAAGGCAAAGCAAGCTGTGGGAAGGGTTCCGGGACACAGTAGGAGCTGACCTGAGGGACTCCACAGTTTCCTCTAGGACTCCTAGAGTCAAACAGACCGAAGCCTGAGGAGGGGCTGGATCTGACGTTCAGATGACTACAGGCCTCCTCCCAAAGGCAGGTCAAGTCCAGCCACCAGTGGCCCGTACAGTTGCTGACCTTCTGACCTCACCACACCTTACAGGCCCAAGGTATTTGTGGTGCATGAGAGAACTAATCTACTCAGTGTGTTTTTCTCTCGCTGATTCTGTCCTGGACACAGGCTGCTCTGGTACAGGTGAGTGCTGCCAGTTTCCCAACAGAAAGGCAGGAGCTGCATCTCCTCATCAGGACTCCAAGTTATCCTGGCTCATTTGTACATCTGCACCTCTCTATGTCATACGTCCATGCGCTTCAGGCTTTTTGTATGAGGCACTGGTGTAAGTCAAAAGGGAGCTGACATAAAGCTGCGTGCCTGATCCTGGAGTAAAGGCTGGGCATCGTATATAGGGACTAGTGGGACGAAGATAGGTCAGCGGTGTGTGATGCCCAGGAGCCAGAAGGGTGGAGGAGGAGCTGTGCTCACGGCCTGCCTCTCTACAACAGGCTCTTCCGCTCCTCGCTACAGCCTGCTCTAGGAAGTGTCTGCAAATCTGGACTAGGGTAGCATCCTCTCCAACCCCTGAGCAGGGGGCAAATAAAACTCCCTAGATGTAAGAACTTGGGGGGGGGGGGGGTCCAGATTCTCAGCCCATGGACCCTACACTGAGACCTAGGGCATCCTCTGAGTTCCCACGAAACACGGAGGCACAAGAAAGAAAAGTGACCCGTGGGCCCTCAGTGTGTGCTCTCCCACGGGGACTGCAGAGTCACGCCATGCAGCTCTATGGACTGCCCAGGATCCCTTCCTTAAGTCCTGTCTCTGTGACAAGGGAGAAACCAGGTAATGCCTGGGCCAGTAAGGAAGCAGGGGTTTGTGGGCTTGCTTGTTGGGAGCTGCAAGGGTGAGCCAGGGTGCAGAATTCCAGAGGTCCAGAAGGAAAGAATGCCTGGGAAAAAGCTAGGGCACCAAGTAGCCCCGGAAACTACAGGGCCTGGGACAGGACCCAAATGGAAACAAGCAGCCAGGCAGGGGGGCCTGGCTGGGGAAGATACAAACACAGTCTACAGCACTTCAGCTGGACGGATTCTGACCTCTGCTCTGCTTGGCCTCACTTTTCAAAACTTCCCTCAGAGCTACACAAACAGCCAAGGAGGACACAGCACCCAGGAGGTCCAGCCCTTGGCATTGACCCCTCTAGAGAGGCCAAGGCAGGTGCAAGCAGAGCTAAGCCATTCCCCAACACACACGGCTGGGGCTGGCCAGGTCAGGCAATTAGTTGTCCATGGCAACTGCATTTGTCCAACTAAAGCAGCTCCCAAGCTAAGGGGCGGCCGAGAAGGTAGCCGATTCTAGGGTTCTGTGCCCAGTGTGGGCTTAGGGGTCCCCAGGAATTGGCCCTCATCTGAAAGGTGCCGTCCCCAGAGGTAAAAAGGACACCTTTACTTGTGTCATTTGTATCCAGGGATAGCAGAAGTTATCAGACACCATTAAAGAGCAAACTCCGTATTATTCCATACATATAGCCTCACAGACTCCCGGGGCTTCTACACCACAGTGAGAGTTCATCATGGCCCTACCCAGGGGTCTGTCTGAAGATCTGGCTTTAGAACTTCAACAGGTGTCCCACCACAGCTGGTAGAGGGTCACTCAAAGAACTCCTGGAGCCCCATATGACTTGCATATCTAGGATTATCAGACAGGCAGAGCTGTACTACCCCGACCGATGCTCAGATGGGCAAGCGGTCCTTGTGCTCATTAAGGCCCAAGAAAGGGACTCCTGTTTGTCCTCTGAGGTTCTGAAAACACCCACCCACCCAGCCTGTAGAATATTTTAAGGTGTATGACTTTTGTTTCTGTTGCATTTGCTTAACTCTGTGAATCTGTGTTACTGTGCCTGTCTAAAACACCTGATGGTCTAATAAAGAGCTGACCAGTAGCGAGGCAGGAGAAAGGACAGGAGGGGCTGGCAGGCAGAGGGAATGTATAGAGGGAGAAATCTGGAAAGGGAGATCAAGGAGCAGCCAGAGAAGGAGGAGGACTCCAGGGGCCAGCCACCCAGCTGCACAGCATGGAGTAAGAAACAAAGAAAGGTATACAAGAATAGAAAAGGAAAAGGCCAGAGGCAAAGGGTAGATGGGTTAATTTAAAGTTAAGAAAAGCTGGTAGGAACTAAGCCAAGCTAAGACCAGGCATTCATAAGGAATAATAAGCCTCCGTGTGTGATTTATTTGGGAGCTGGGTGGCGCCCCCACCCCCCCAAAAAGAGTAAAAAACAACACCAGCCCACACTCAGATCTGTTCAAGGAGACAGTACTACATCACAGTAAGATCCACTGAAATCTTAGTGACTAGCCCAAGCCTCTGGGCTTCTATTCTCAGACCACATGACTGACAAGGGGGACACAGAGAGCACACTCGGGCATCTCCCATTCTCTGGGGAACCAATTCCAAGTCTACAGTCCACTGCTCAGCTCATGCCTTCCATCATGAACACCCGTTCAGCAGAAATGCCTAGTTGCCTGGTGACTGGGAAATGGCTCCTGATAAAGTCACAGGCTCCATCTCTAGTCCCCACCCTAAGCTCCTAAGACACCCTCTGGCTCTTCCCTGATCTTAGCCAGGAGGTGCTGCCTAGCTTTGAAGAAAGGTTTGCCTGTTCTATGATAACCTTTCCTTCCAAAGTCAGCCCAGGGACCCTCATGCTAGGCGGGAAGAGGAGCTGCCAGGCCTCTTGCCCCCCCCCCCCCCCCCCCCCAGCTGCCATTTTGCTCAAACTTGAAACATTTTGTAAAGACCTGCCTTCCCCGGTTCCAGAGCAGCAGGCACAGCTCCGCCACCCTCCCACAGGCTAAAGTGCGCTGGATGGAACTAGGGGCCGAGAGCTTAGAAATGCACACTCCCCAGAACTTCGAGGTCCCGGAGGTGACAACTCCACTGTGTCCTGGGCTAGGCATAGGCCAGCCAGAAGAGAAGCTGCTGCTCAGGATAATGGCCCAGAGTCCAGGGTCCTCCTCAAAAATCTACCTTCCGCACCGGCACTGATGGAAACTCTTGTTTGGCACCGTCTCTCATGGCCTGGGGCAAGATGGCTTCAGCCTGGATTCTCAGCACCTCCAGGAAGGAAGGCTAAGGTGAGCCCCCCAGGCTGTTACCTATGCAGAGACTGCCCCTGTCAGTTTATTCCACTCAACCTATGAAGCAATGCCTTCCTTCCCTCTCTACAGCAGAACCCAGGCTGCTCCTCTTAGCAAAGCTAGGCTCAGCTCAGCTCAGCCAAAACCCATTCTGAGAGGCAAGATGGGAGATCCTGTCATGTGCTTAGTTGAAGAAACTGGGTGTAGAAGCTTACGGCATGGCAGGAATCAAACGGTTGAACCTGGACTCCAGATGCCATAGGAGCACAGTGTTGCTCCATAACTTGCAACCTCTTCCAGGCAACTGAAAGAAATCCTTGGCAGCCCAGGAGGGTTGTGTTGCGGGGGAGGGGCAGGCACTACACAGTCCTTTCTGACCAACCTAGCACCTGCATGAGAAGAGCAGGGAGGGAGTGTGGAACACAGCTGTTCCCAAAATTCCCACGGCACCCCGAAAATCAAAGCGAAAAGCAAACAGCACCTTCATTTTGTCTTAAAACAGGAAGGTTCATTTTAATCTTGGAATGCCCGTGTTAAGAGGATAGCGGGGAGCACTGTTGCCTCCCCTTGTGGAAGCTGAGTGCTGAATGTAGCTTTGCTGCAGGCTCAGATGCCCAGAATCAACCCTTTCCTGGGCCTATCCAGAACACGGGCCTCTCTGAAAGAAAGAAGTGGACAGGTGCTTTGTTAGAGGTGCATCTGGCTCCCAGGCCTGGAGGATTCATGAGGCTCTGCTAAGTCGGGGGGTGCGCTCTGCTCAGTCCATCTGGGCTGCTGGGGTGTGTGTGTGTGTGTGTCCTCAAGTCTCCCCGGGAGAAGGCTACTTTTTAAAAGTCAGCTAAGTCAACTGTGAGGATTTCGTCTGTCTTCACTGAGGGAAGCCACAAAACAACTTCCTTAATGGCCTGCTTAGGTTCTGACCTGCATACTGAAGACAGGCAGATTGGGGCTGAGCACATTTACAGGGTGAGGAGTTTCATGAATATGGTTTAATGCCTAGGCTATTAGCCAGATTCTTCAGGAGTTTTCAACGGGAATGTGGACTGAGCCCTGGGAATCATTCCTGTCCAGAGATGCTGGAAGCACACGAAAGACTGGCTGAAGACAGCTGTGCAGGCTGCAGGCATCTCTTGTTCCAAGGGGAAGTTGTTAGAGTTGTCTGGTGCCTAAAACCTCTGCGCTAAACAATGGGGCTTGGAGGCGTGCCACGTACCAGGCGTGGACAGTGGGGTTTCCTTGCGGGCAACACGTGCTCTGCGGCGGCGGGGGGCAGGCGCACATGGTGATTCCTGACCTGAGGAAGGTACTTCGAAGGCAAAAGAACTCGGTTCCAGGGGGACGACAAGGAGAGAAATGGCGCTCTGAGGTCCCACTAGGCGGCTTGGGGAATTTACCCTCGCGAGGGTTCTGCAACCATGCGCCTGGGGTGCCCGCCAGCACTCAGATCATTGCGCCGGAGCGTAGGCTCGCAAAGCTGAGGTCCTCGCCTGTGCCTGGCATTCGCACAAGGACTATGACACCTCACAGACACCGGCCGGGGTCCCGCACCCACCTAACTGCTCCTATGCATCCCAAAGACCTCTGCCGGGCTTCCACCCAGCGGACCCCGCATGCGCCTTCCACTCACTCCACGGGCTCTAGGCACGTCGCAAACCTTGCCCAGAGCTCCTCAGTACCCCCAGGGATCCTCTGGTCCCCTGTCGTGTAGAACTCAGCCCGAGCCCCGCTTTCATCGCTAGGACGCCTGAAAGACCAGAACCGCGCCTTGCACTATCCCGTTGCTTCCCACGCACTCAGAATCGATCCATGTCCCCAACACTACACCCCATAGGCCCGTACCTGGTTCAACTGGCAGCGGCGGTCTGGATCGCGCACACGCGCACTACAACACCCACAAACCCGCGCAGAGGCCCAAGGGCAACATGGAGAGGCGTGACTACCTAAGCTAACCACGCCCCGAAGGCGTGGCCAACGTGGCGGGCCGGAAGCGCAGCCGCGGGACTACTAGGGGGTGGAGCAAACACCTGGTCACACCCGCAGCTACGCCCACAATAGACTTGTGCATGCGCCCTCCACACTTTGCGATTAGTTACCGCCTGCATCACGTGGTTCCCTGAGGCGTGGGCGACCCGCGGCGCGTCGGCCAGTCTCTACTCTCTGTCCCTACCTACATCTCTAGACTCGTTTCCCCTTCAGTACGCTGTCCCTGCGTCCCTGCTCCTATACTTCCTCCCTACGCCACCTCTCTCCTGTCCCCCGCCCCCCTCCACCCAGACTGCTCTTCACCCGATCCCTCGGCGCCGCAGCTCTCCTGGCCGGCCTGAGCTCCATAACGAGCCCCTTACCCGGCTGGACTAGGTCGTGCCTCACAGCAGACTGCCTGGTCTGATCGAGCGCAGAGGACAGAGGTGACTGCCGGGCCTAGGACCGAGGCCCCTCCCCGGACCCGCCCCTGACCCTGCAGGCGCGCAGAAGTCTGCTCGGGCTCTTTCAGGCTCGTCTGAAAACCCGTGCCCCGGGCCCACCTGCTAAAGCAGTCCAGGAACTAGGGCATTGGCTAGCCACGGACTGCGGGCTAGAGTTGCGCTGCTTGCACCAGCTCTGCATGCCCCTCGTTTCTGTATCAGTGTCTTTGGGTCCCAAAGGCACTGGTGGATTGTGTTTGGCTGTGCAAGGAGACCCCAGGCCCCAGGCACGGAGCATCTGTCGCGTGCGCGCGCTGGCACACACCTTCTGTCAACCAGACTCTGTTAACAGGGACAGAAGGCTGGCCTGACTGTTTTAGGCCACCCACCTCACCCCCACCCCTATCCTCTAACATCCCCCCCAACCCGCGAACCCGTTTCCAGCAGGGACACTAAGCTAATGCTCAGCAGGTGGAAGGCCGCAGGCAGCTTGGGGTGAGGTAGGAGGGGGCGGGGATCCCCGAAGCCAGCCTCTTTCCTGATGGGCTTTGGTGGAGTACTTGTGCAGGGCAGGGGTCACTGCCTAAAGCACATTAGGAGCAAAGTAGAACAAATGGGGAGGGGCCAGGGTCCAAAGGGGAATGACTGACCAGCAACCTTGGTCCAACACCTGAGTCCTTGTGATTAGATAGCACAGGGACACATCTCAAATTATTTGCAAGTGATGGTTAGGTAGCTTGAAGAATTTCAGGGAGAACTGGAGAACTCCCATATCTGCTTGTATCAGTTGTCTGTACCCTCAGGCCACTGCTTACGGCCTGGAGGACAAGGCCTCAGAGCACCTGTCCTGAGTAAGTGGCAAAGAGGAGCCTGTAAGAACTTGCCCCATGGACAAGGTGGAGGATGGGGAAGAGAGTGACGATCTGGGTGCCAGACAGGTCTGTGCCCTCGTAGGGCTCAGTGAGGACCACCCTACCCACAGGATCAGGTGGTGGTACCCAATCCACACGACCCATATGTCATGGAGGGGTAGGCACCCGGACAAGCTCAGCATGTACTCCAGGATACTGGGCTCCCTTCAGCCCTGTCTCTCACTGTGTTAGGATTCCTGAAGGAGCTGTTCCTTGGGATGGACTAGGGGTAGAATGGCCCCTGTATCATTTAGAGACAACCACGTAGGGAAGAAGGAGGCTTCCAGAATGCTCCCTAAGATACCAGATGCTGGCACCAGGAAGGCCCCACAAGACCAGCACAGTTAGTTTTAGGAATGGATCAGTGCTTTGAGGAATGGTTTCTTGGATATATAATAATCTATCATTTATTTAAGTGCTGGTATAAGCATGGTAATTGTCTTCTGTCTGGGCCATGAGGGTGAAGGTTGGGACCCATGATGGTGCCATGTGCTGGAAGGGTCAGGATGCGCCGGGAGCCAAGCCCCAACCTCAGCAACTTCTAGCTTCCAGTCACAGTTGTCATTGCAAGGTCTGAAGTTTGCAGACCCACAGACATCTGGAGGAGCGTGGGTGGGCTCTGCAGCTCAATCCCATAGGGTATCAAACCCTTGTAGAGGGTTTGCTCCCTAATAACAGCATTATTACCCCCAGAGAACAAGTACCTTGCCCATTCAGCATCATCTAAAACCAGTCTGTCAACGCCCTATCTTTCCAACTCATTTCCCAGCAGGTCTGTGAGAGGCAAGGCTGCCTGGTGAGATCTGGGCTCTGAGGTTAGGAGCAAGCAGTCCACCTCAACTTAGGGGTGCCTCTGGGAAGCCCTTTAGCCCCAAACCTCCTACCAGTGAGACAGAGTGGCACTTCTGCTGTGCAGGAGAGTTTGAAGAATGAGATGGGCACTTGGTGCCTGGCAGGACTCATGAAGGAAGGAAACCCACCTGTCACTTCCTCCCGCAGTCCAGGCTCACTTGAAAGTACTTGGGCCCACCTTGGACAGATCCAGGAAGAGAAAGAACAGAGCAGGGTTACCCTGCCATGCCCACTCCAGCCAGGGAACCCAGCAACCATGCTCACTGTTAATGGTCCCAAAGTCCATAGTGTTCCAGACCAAGGACCTGGCCCCTGGGGCCAGCCTAGCCTTTGCCCAGCTCCAGAAAAGCCAGGCCTCACATCTCCATAGCACCAGGGTCAGGTCAAGATCTATTGGGATGACTGCTCTCCAAGAGTCCACCTTCCTAGACTAGCAAGCAGCAAAATGTATCCCCCACACAGTGGAAGTCTAGGTGTATACTGGTGGGAAAGGCCATCCCTCCCAGTCTGAACCATGGCCTTCCCTTTATGTCAACTTGACACAAGCTAAAGTCGTCATCGGGGAGGAGGGAGCCTCAGTTGAGAAAATGACCATAAGATCTGACTGGGGGGATTTTCTTAATTAGTGACTTATGAGGAGAGCCCAGCCCATTGTGGGTAGTTCTGTCCTTGAGCAGGGGGTCCTGGGTTCTATAAGAAAGCAGGCTGAGCAAGCCACAAGGAGCAAGCCAATAAGCAGCACCTCTCTGTGGCCTCTGCATCAGCTCCTGCCTCCAGGTTCCTGCCCTGTTTGAGTTCCTGTCCTGACTTCCTTTGTTGATGAACAGTGATGTGGAAGTGTAAGCCAGATAAACCCTTTCATGGTGTTTCATCACAGCAATAGTAACCCTAACTAGGACAAATTGGTACCAGGATAGTGGGGTATTGCTGTGACAGACCCGACCATGTTGTTTTTGGAAGGATTATGGAAGGACTTTGGAACTGGGTTAGAAAAGCCATGGAGTGTTAAAAGCTCAGTGAGATGTTCTGTAGGAGCTTGGAAGAAAAGAATGATGATGGAGGCCTGGTTTGTGAATTTTCAGAGGAAGCAAAGGCTCCACCGGGCCTTTTGTGTGAAGGATCTGTGGTTCTGGTCTACTGGAGCTGAAGAATCAGCTGTGATTAATAAGAGACCAGAACCAATGAGGTAAAGTCTTCTGGGAAGTGTTTCCTAAGAGTCAGCACACAGAACTGTGTGCCAGAGGTGGCCAAGGTTGCCCCTTGTGCTGGCCGTCAAACTTGGTAGTGTGAGAGTCCCCCAGGTGGTGCTGGTTTTGAAGGTGTGAAGGCGTCATGGAGAGCCCTGAAGCTTGGCACTGTGTGGCAGGGCTGGAGTCCCCGAAGAGAGCCCAGGAGAGACTATTGGTGAACGTGCAGCCCAGTGGCAGCAGAAGACCCCAGCATTTTGGAGATGCCAATGCCACGGGATGACCACCAAGGACAGCGGCAGTGGACGAGTGAAGCCAAGACAAGCTAGAAGACCAGCTGTGTGTGCTGCAGAGGGCAGAGCCAGGGAAGTGACCTTTTGGAGGAGCCCAGAAGACGGTGAGTAAACCCCAGACATTGGACATTGAGTTACTTATACCGTTGGAGTTTGGTTTTGCTTTGAGTTGATTGTGGTTGTGCCTTGGCCCTGCCCTCTGGAAGTGAGAAAGTGTTTAATTTTTATTTTACAGAAGCCCTTAGTGCCAAAGGGCAGCCAGATGGCCTTTAGCCAGTGGAGAGGAGGAGCATGGGAAGGAGTTGAGCCCCATATAGGATCGGGGGCGATGGTCAGTGAAGGGGGAAGGGAGCTAAGGTGACCATCCAACCTTGGCGAAGTGAACCCTGGGCCTGAAGTGGAAAGTCAAGGGAGGGGTGTACGGAAACAGAGAGAAAGAACAGAGCGGGGCAGGCTCTGGGAAGTATCCATAGCACGCCGTAGAACACTTGGGGCCTGGTGCTGTGTCCTAGAGGAACACACCTTACCATCCCAGTGGCCAGGATGACTCCTGAATGCCTTAAAGGCGGCAGCGAGATGTGACTATCCATTCTCCACAGCCCCTGCTTCAGTGACACGCGGCTGCTGAAGCAAGGCTTAAAACCAGCACATGGACAGGGACACACAGGCTCATGGGCCTAGTATGGCCCTTTTATCAGCACTGACGTGGGCTTGGGGACAGGAGAGCAGGCAGCTGTTTCCCTGCCTGGGAGCCCTACAGTCCCTTCCAGGTCAGTGAGAGCCTCAGGGCAGTGTTTAGAGGCCATGGTGGAACAGAGGCTCCCAAGCTCAGCCTAGGAGGTTCTGCTTCCCTACCCTGGGCAGGTCACCTCAAACCTGTCACCGTGGATGGTGTCTCTCCTCCCCAGGATTCTCAGAATGGTTCTGAGTGGGCGCCGCAGGGGACCTGCTGCCCACTCCCAATCCTTAGGTCCCTTTAGGTAGCCTCCTCTCTAGCATAGGTCTGGACGCTTCCAGTGGGAAGGAAAAAGGCATATGCGAGGCCCCGTCAGCAAGGAAGTAGGGTATAGCAGGCAGAAAGGTGAAGGGCCTACTGTGCTACACACACACACACACACACACACACACACACACACACACACGCACACGCACACGCACACGCACACACACGGTGAAGGGCCTACTGTGCTACACACACAACACACACACACACACACACACACACACACACACACACACACACGCACACACACACACGCACACACATACCTCTAAAGTCCCGAAAGGTGATGACTGGGGCCCTTCTTGCCCTGGACCCTCAGCACAGCCAGTGTCCTGTGTCACTGCAGGTTTTAGCAGCCGGGCTGGCCTGGACAGTCCTTTCCTCCACCCTTTTCCTAGACATCGATCTTTCATCTCATTTGTGGCCAGCAGCTACCCAGGGAGAAAGTGAGAGGGAACTAAAGTGGTCGCGTCTTTTCAGAGTTCAGCCCCGCCCCTCTGGTGTGTGTGTGGGGGGTCAGGCACACTTCTGAACTTGTGATGTGCGTGTTTCTCCTGTTAGCACCCTTGCTCTCTTTCCTCATTCTGTGGGTGCTTGGGCTCAGGCACGTCTTTGTTCGTTTATTTGTTTCGTTTTGTTTTTCCAGACAGGGTTTCTCTGTGTAAGAGTCCTGGCTGTCCAGATTAGTCTTGAACTCACAGAGATCCTCCTGCCTCTGCCTCCTAAGTGCTGGGATTAAAGGCGTGCGCCACCACGCCTAGGTTAGGCACACTTGAAATGCTGAGGAGTTGGTTTCTGCTGCATCAGTCTTGTGCTTCTCAGAGCCACCTGGGCTGGGAGGGGTTAACTGGGAACAAACAAACCATTACCAGTGAGTCCGCACTGGGCTGTTCACAACATGTGCTCCCTGACTCCTTTTTACAATGTGGAGTTCAAGTGTGTCTTCATGATACCGACTATGAAGGTGCCCACATCCATCCCATCATCCCCTATGAGAATGGGATGGTTTATTCTGAGCCAATATGAGGGACCATGGCTCAGGAATGCAGATTCAGGTTCCTGAATAACATGTTCCAACATAGAAGCAGTTGCATGGACATTTGTGCTCACAGAACAAAAGAAAGTCATACACCAAGGCATTTTCCAGACACATTGCTGGAAACATCAGGTAGGTGGGTTACAGAAAAGCAGGGGAGTCGCTGCTCTAGTCTGTCTGATGACATTCTTAGCCGTGGGGTTGGCAGAAGCTGTTAATATATTCTAAAGGGGAATCCAATGGAAGACGGGGAGGAAGGACTGAAGGGTCAAGGAAACCAAAAGAAAACCCACAGAATCAACTAGCCTGGGCTCATAGGGGCTCACAGACCTGAACCACCAACTAGGCCTGCATGGGACTGACCTAGGCCCTCTGTATATATGTGACAGTTGTGTAGCTTGGTCTTCTTGTGGGACTCCTAACAATGGGAACAAAGGCAGTCTCTGACTCTTTTACTGACTTTTGGGACCCTTTTCCTCACACTGGGTTGCCTCATCCAGTCTTAATACTAGGGGAGGTGTCTAGTGTTACTGTGACTTGATATGCCATGTTTGGTTGATATTCATGGGAGAAGGAGTAGATGGGGGGGGCGCTGGTGTAGAGGGGAGGTTGGAGGAGGGGTTTGGAGAAGAGGAGGGAGGAGAAACGGTGGTTGGAATGTAAATAAAATTATATATATAATTATGTATACACGCCATTTTGCATATATATATTCCAAAGGTTTTACTTAGTAAAGGGTGTTGGGTCAGACACAGCCAAGGGTAATGACTTGATATTCAGGAGACTAAACATAGCCCAAGATAAACTGGCTCTGGTTGTGCATCCTGGCACTTCACAACATTAAAGCTGTAATCAGTGGGTCAGTCTTGTGAAATCTTCAACACAAGCACGTGGGATTTCTTTGCTTTTCTGAAAACTAAAGTTCACAGTGCAAAAAAATCTAATAAATCTATTGGTAATCCTGGGACTCAGGAAGCAGAGACAAAAGGATCAAACGTTTCATGGTCAAAAAACAAACAAATAAAAACACAAAAAAACAAAACTAAATGCTGGGCATGGTAGTGCATACCTTTAATGCCAGCACTCAGAAGGCAGAGGCAGGTGGATCTCTGTGAGTTGGATGCCAGTCTGGTCTATATAGTGAGTTACAGGAGAGCCAGGGCTATGTAAAGAGATCCTGTCTCAAACAAAGAAACAAACAAAAAAGTTTACATTCAACCTCAGCTACATAGTGATTTCAAGGACAGCCTAGGGTTACATGAAACTGTCTAAAAAAATAAAAAATAAAAATGGCACCTAGAGACCACAGGACAAGAAGGGTGTTTGTAAAGGCCTGACTCTCGGAAAAGTGTCTCGATGAGGAAAGATAGTCTTGAGAAGTCAAGGAGTTCAAGAACGACTAAGGTCCCTGTGAGAACAGAGTGAATGCCAGGAATTCGGGGAGCTCCATGGCAGGAGCTTGCCCAGCTTGCCAGATGTCATACCCAGCCTGTGGGGAAAAGCAATGCTTCTGTATTTAGAGCTTCAAGTGAGTCACGTACCGAAATGAGAAGATAGCGCCATTTCCATTTGCCCCCTTGAGCTTCAATTTCCTAGCCAATTTCTTGGGCTTGCCTGCTGCCGGCAGCTGGTGGCTGAGGACCGGGAAGCTTGCGTGTGGCCCGTTTCTGTCATCACAAGAAGTCCTCTGGTGGTCCATGTGCCACCTTACCGCTGACTAGAAGTCCTGAGAGGTTTATCTTGGGTGACAGCCACTTGGCCCCATTGCTTTGGGCCTGTTGCGAGGCAGACAATCATGGCTGGAGCCCATACAACAGCACACCTGCCCATCTTACAGCCAGGAAGCAAAAGGAACCAGGAAAAGCCTGGATCCTATAGTCCCCTTCAAGGCCGTATACTCAGTGACCTAAAGACTCCCCATTTGGTCCCATCCTTTGAAAGTACCATCACCTTTCTGTACTACCACACTGGGAACAAAGCCTTCAGCACATGGGCCTTCAGCACCCAAACTATTGCGCTGAGTTCTGGGATAAAAATGGAGACCTCATCTTACCTAACAGAATGCTAAGGGCAAGAGTCCATGCTTTAGAGCAGGCATTCAGAATCCAGGAAGCGGAGTCTCCAAAAGGAAGAATTATCAGCCCAGCCATCAAAGGGTACCATTAGATGACCAACAAAGCAAGCCACACCTGGGAGAAGATATCCATACGGGGCGTGTATTCAGAATACATTAAAAAAAAAAAAACCCTCATAGCTCAAGACTAAGAAGATGAGATGCCCAGTTCTTAAAATATGAAGGAGCTGTGCCGGCGGGGGGGAATAAAAACCCTTGTTACCGAGCCTGATGGCCGGAGCTCAATTCCTGGGACCCCCATAGTGGAAGGAGAAAACTGACTACGGCAGATTGTCTGCTGACCTTCACGTGTGTGTTGTGGCAAGCACGTGTGTGTGTGTGCGTGCACGTGTGCGTGCGTGCACACACACCCTAAACAAATACAATAAAAACTAATAGATTATGCAAGATCTGAACAATGAGTACTGAGCATGTGAAAATATGTCTGATAACATCATTCATCACCAACCAGTGGGGGACCACAGCATGCCCTCAAAAAGGGCTAATATTTAAAATCAGACGATGCTAAGTGCTGACCGGGTGACTCCTCAGAGTTACAGGAATGCTGCGTCTTGGTGACAGGATGCCCAGAACAAGAGTCCCTCCTGTGTGTGGTGTCCAGGGGCAAGGCTCTGTTCTGGCAGGAAGCCTGTGGCTAGCAGAGGATACTGGGGAGGCCGGGGCTCTTGGGTTAAGTGGGAACTCTCTCTGACGGGCAGAATGTGAAGGGCATGTTCATTAGTCACAGCCGCTTTAATCACACAACTGTGTATGTGGTTCTTGCCTGCAAATTGCACCTCAATAAAATTGATTTTTCCATTCTGTTGTACATGGGCGAAAGGCCTGGGGTGGGGGCAGATTGCAAGCTTCTCCCTGCCCTACTGGGATTCAGGCCAACCCAGCTATGAAGGAGACAGCAGCAAGAAGCGGGGCCCTGGGAGACCATGGGTGG